ACCATCAGCCTAACAGTCAATCGTAAGTGCCCTGATTATCACCATTGTTCACAGAGGACCATCAGCCTAACAGCTGATCGTAAGTGTCCTGATTATCCCCATTGTTCATAGAGGACCATCAGCCTTACAACTGATCGTAAGTGCCCTGATTATCCCCATTGTTCATAGAGGACCATCAACCTATTGAGTGATCATAAGTGCCCTGATTATCCCCGTTGTTCACAGAGGACCATCAGCCTAACAACTGATCGTAAGTGTCCTGATTATCCCCATTGTTCATAGAGGACCATCAGCCTTACAACTGATCGTAAGTGCCCTGATTATCCCCATTGTTCACAGAGGACCATCAACCTATTGACTGATCGTAAGTGCCCTGATTATCCCATTATTCATAGAGGACCATCAGCCTAACAACTGAACGTAAGTGCCCTGATTATCCCCATTGTTCACAGAGGACCATCAACCTATTGACTGATCGTAAGTGCTCTGATTATCCCCATTGTTCACAGAGGACTATCAACCTATTGACTAATCGTTAGTGCCCTGATTATCCCCATTATTCACAGAGGACCATCAGCCTAACAACTGAGTGTAAGTGCCCTGATTATCCCCATTGTTCACAGAGGACCATAAACCTATTGACTGATCGTTAGTGCCCTGATTATCCCCATTGTTCACAGAGGACTATCAACCTATTGAGTGATCGTAAGTGCCCTGATTATCCCCATTGTTCACAGAGGACTATCAACCTATAGACTAATCGTTAGTGCCCTGATTATCCCCATTATTCATAGAGGATCATCAGCCTAACAATTGACGTAAGTGCCCTGATTATCCCCATTGTTCACAGAGGACCATCAACCTATCAACTGATCGTAAGTGCCCTGATTATCCCCATTATTCATAGAGGACCATCAGCCTAACAACTGATTGTAAGTGCCCTGATTATCCCCATTGTTCACAGAGGACTATCAACCTATTGACTAATAGTTAGTGCCGTGATTATCCCCATTATTCACAGAGGACCATCAACCTATTGACTGATCGTTAGTGCCCTGATTATCCCCATGGTTCACAGAGGAATCATAAGTACCCTGATTATCCCCATTGTTCACAGAGGAATCATAAGTACCCTGATTATCCCCATTGTTCAGAGAGGACCATCAGCCTAACAACCAACCGTTAGTGCCCTTATTATCCTCATTGTTCACAGAGGACCATCAACCTATTGACTGATGGTTAGTTCCCTGATTATCCCCATTGTTCACAGAGGACCATCAGCCTAAAAACTGATCTTGAGTGCCCTGATGGCGGCAAAAAAGAATTCCTTTTATAAAAAACAGGTCAAATATTAATTTCCAAAAGAACTTAAAAACATTTCAATTATTCCTTTAAAGTGTATTTGTTATAAAGTGTTACATTCATATATCTCACCTGTTACATACACATCATTGTTCAGGGACACTATGGAGTAACCCCACTTGTCAAGATTGGGAAAGTTTGGCAGCTGATGCCATTTTTCTGGAGAAACAAAAAGGAGAAGTTAAAAACAGTGAGGGAAACCTATAACTTATCCATAAATAAAATTATTCAATGAATGTCTTGAAATAAATAAATAAATAAAATTAGGCAAATGTGTAAAAAAATGTCTTTGGAACTATTAAGTGGAAACTGCTTTTCAATCTGAAAAGTTACAAGTTGGATATGTGTGTTTTGTTATGGAAACACTAGTCTTAAAATGAGTCATCTTTCACAATAAAATATTTATTTGAGGAACTGAGGAGATAATCCTGTTTTGTTGCATCCACACATTATTCTCAAAGAGATCTTCCTGTCATCACTGTTTCATAACCTGGGATATTTCTCATTGTTTTATATGAATAGGGTGAAAAATAAATGTGTGGGTAATTAAAAAAATAATAAACAAGTATTTTCAGGCCTATATTTAAAAAATGTTAAATTTTTACAATAACATTTATTGAGGTTGGAAGCATGGTCCGTCCTGTGCAGAATGATAAATCATCAAATTATTTCTTTACGAAAAACCTCTAAAACTTTGCTCTAGTTTATTTTAACAGGGTGAATCTTTGCACAGGTAATGTCCACATATGGATTTATACTTTCCAAGAGTTTTTAGCCTTATTCTTTATCATTTTGCAAAGGTTATATACTGTTTAATGTAAAAAAAAGACATGTGAGGGTAAAAAAAATCCTAATTTTTTTCTGTTCCATCCCACCTTTCTCTGAAACAACAGCAGCTGCTTTGCTTCTTACACTTCTAATGAAAAGTCCCCAGTGTTAGCTTTATCTTGAAACCAAGAATATTTAAATAGAGTTTGTAGAAGCTGAGATACACTCAATTACATCTGGGCTCATTGTTTTAAGCACAAACTTCAAACGCCTCGAGGCTGAGGAGTCGAGGAGGACAATCTTACTGGTCTTTGTGTTGTAGAAGGCACAGTTCCTGGAAGGTGGTCTCTGAAGTCTTGGATCTCTGTCTTCATCCTCATCAGAGTCATCTTCATCGTCTGAGTCATCCAGTGAGCGGCCTCCCATCACAAACAGCACTTCTTGCAGGTTTGTTTGTGGACTCTGAGAGTTTAGTCTGTCAGAATATTCCGGTTCCAAATCGATTTTCTAAGAATGGTTAGAAGTGATTATGAGAATCAGATTTGAAAAGACTAATGGAGATGCATGAACCCACTAACCTCTCTGTGTATTTTTTCGATGGCCTCCCTGCAGCTGGGTGAGGCCAGCACCAGGCTGTCCTTCAGCAGGGTGTCAGACAGGTAGCTCAGACTCAGCAGAGACAGATGTGACCAGCTGAGGAGGTCAGAGAGGCAGCACAGTCGAGACTCCTCCTGGTGCTTCACCCACTTCAGGATGGCTTCCACGCGCGTGCACTCCGAGCGAATTTGCAGCCTTTCATCAGACAAGCATGCAACCAGTCTGTCTTTTTCCAGTAACAGGAACTCTTCACCTTGTTGGATCCCCTCAAAGTTCTCCAGGAGGAAGGCCCAGGCTTTGGCCACCACCTCAGGGCAGCCATGGATCTGTCCAAACTCCAGGATCCCCAGGCAGTTGGTGGCATCGATCTGGTGCTGCAGGTATCGGCTGCACACTGCCCGCACCGTCTGGAACTGCAGCTGGCTGGAGGTGCAGATCAGGCCCTCCACGTTGCTCTGGTTGATGGTCAGTTTGCCCGTGTATGCAAAGTCCAGCAAGTATCCCAGAATGTCAGGGTCGACGTCGTGGAGCTCCACGCGGGCGGCTATGCTCTCCACGAAGTCCCCCGAGAACATGGAGCGGAAGTACGTGCTGCAGAGCGCCAACACTCCTCGGTGACAGGGGAACTCCCGGCCGCCTGCGGTCAGCGTCACGTCCACGAGTTTGGGGTGAGAGCAGAGAGAGCGCAGGCCTTCCAGGATGCTCTGAGGGTGGGAGGACAGGCAGAAGTCCAGGTCGTCCACGTTTCGCACCATGATGAGCTTCAATCCAAAGAGTTAGTTTAAAATCTTATGTCGGCAGGAGGGCTAAAAACTGGGGTTATGGCTTACCTAAAAGCAGCAAAAAAACACAAGAGCAACATTTTCATCAACACAACTAAGTTATGGGGTTTTGACTTTAATTGTACGTTTTACATAAAAAGAAGCCTACATAATTATTTTATACAGAAAAACAAGTTGGCCCCAAGATTTATCTGTGGTTAATAGTCTTTTCCCCTGTTCTTGTGAAAAAAAAGTCTTTAACTTGAATTTTTATCCATACTACAATAACTGTCAAGTATCTTTAACTAGAGATTAGAACTGTAGTTTTTCTTTAAAAGAAAAGACACTGTTTACTGTCATAAAATTTTAAAAATTATAAAAATAAAAACTTACCTAAGATTGACAGAATTAGAGTCAGAGACATCATCCTTCGAGCAAAACAAAAAAGATATGGTAGCTTCACCTCAGATCAACAAGGAGCGGGCAACATGGCGCAGACCTTTTGCTAAGTCACCGAGGAGGACTTCCTGTCATTCGGGTCGTTATTTTTAGGACCAGCGATGACGCGGTGCTAAAGTCAGCCACAGCTGCTGGCACAGGCGCATGTTTTGGATTGTTTGAAAAAAAAAAAAAAAACCTGGACACTAGTACAGGAGATAAAAAAGACAAGGACTGATATTTGTTGAAAGAGTTTGTTGTGTCTCTTAACATAAAAAAGAAGTAAAGAGTTATATCAAAGAAATAAATTACAGCATTTTAATAAGATTAAAAAGTGATATGATTTTTCTGATGAATTACAGGGTTTTGTCCTGTCAGAAAGAGTTTCCTTTCTGCTAAACTAGATAACATTTCAAATGATAAAAATGTTTAAACTTAAATCAAATTTGTTTATTGTGAAAAACAAACATTGTTTCCACATTTTTACTACATAGCTGGTCATATTTTATTTTAAAACAGGGATGGGCAACTGTTGGCCCATAGGC